GGGCCGCACGCATGCCAGGCGAGCGCGCTACCGCTTGAGCCACATCCCCAGCCCCAGTTTATTTCCATTCTGAGCATGAAGGCCTGGGAAACAGCCAAGCCAGTAGTGTAGTTCCCCTCTGAAGGCTGTCCAGCTCAAGACCCAAGGAGATTTGATGTGTCACCCAAAGACAGGGGGTAAAAATCCTTTGGCCTAGTTTGTAGGTAGTACAGCAGGAAGATCTCTCTCTTATTCAGTCTTTTTGTTCTATTCAGAACTTCAACTGATTGGATGTGGCCCCCTCTCCCACTACAGTTGACAACCTGCTTTTCTCAGTCTAGTGACTTAAATATTAATCTTTTTTTTTTTTTTTCATACCAGGGTGCTTAACCACTGATGTGCTTAACCACATCCACAGCCCTTTTTATTTTTTATTTAGAGTCAGCGCCTCAGGGCTGGGGATGTGGCTCAAGCGGTAGCACGCTCGCCTGGCATGCGTGCGGCCCGGGTTCSATCCTCAGCAAGACATACAAACAAAAGATGTTGTGTCCGCCGAGAACTAAAAAAATAAATATTAAAATTCTCTCTTTCTCTCTCTCTGTGTCTCTCTTTAAAAAAAAAAAATAGAGTCAGGGCCTCACTAAGTTGCTGAGGCTGACTTTGAACTTGTGTTCCTCCTGCCTTACCCTTCTGAGCTGCTGGAATTACAGGTGTGAGCCACTGTGCCTGGTTTTAAATGTTAATCTTGCCTAAAAACAAAATCAGAATGATGTTTGGCCAAAAAACCTGGGTACCCGATAGCCCAGTCAATTTGATATACAAAGTTAACCATCAGAGGAAGGTTAAGGTAGAAACAGGGAGGCCCAGGAAGAGGCCTCTGTGATAATTCAGGTGACATGATGGTACCTCGAACCAGAGTGGATAGGACATGGAGGTGGTAAGAAGTGGACATATTAAAAAAATAAAATAAAAAAAATTTAAAAAAAAAGAAGTGGACATATTTGGGGTAGGAGTTGGGAGGAGATATCTCTTGTCTTGGAAATTTTCACCTAACAAGAGTGGAGAGACTAGAATGGTGAATCTCCATTCAGCCCTAACTCTTCATATTCAGCGTGTGGACAATCTTATTTCCGTTATGGCTACCCCCTTACCCCAAGCTCCACATGCTTCATTACATTATTTTGATTCTGACCTTATTTTGAATTCTGGATATATGTTCAAGGGAGAATGAGAGGAATTCCAGGTGGACTGGATGTGGTATTTGGTGATCCAAGATGACACCAAGGCTTGTGTCTGAGCAATGCAAGGACCCAGTGTAAGGTCCTGAATGTGTCATAGTCTCTTTCTACCTGGGGCTGAGACCTGCTGAGCCTGGCTCAAGGGAGCACTCTGGAGAGAGTATGGGCTTTGGAGAAGAAATTGTCCAATCAGTGGTATGCAATTTAATTCTTTTTTTTTTTTTTTTTTTTTTTTGGTACTGGGGATTAAACCCAGGGGTACTTGATCACTGAGCCACATCCCCAGCTCTATTTTGTATTTTATTTAGAGACAGGGTCTGGATGAGTTGCTTAAGGCCTTGTTAATTTGCTGAGGCTGACTTTGAATTTTCCGTCCTCTTGCCTTAGCCTCCTGAGCTGCTGGGATTCCAGGATTGTGCCACCATGCCTAATTCATATTTCCCTCGAAAAAAAAAAAAATTGGGGGAGTGGGTAGGCACTTTCCAAGGCCCCTGAGGACTTGTGTTATACAAATAAGATGTATAAGCCAGGCCAGGTGGCATATGCCTGTAATCCCAGCGGTTTGGGAAGTTTAGGCAGGAGGATCATGAGTTCAAAGCCAGCCTCAACAAAAGTGAGGCACTAAGCAACTGAGTGAGACCCCGTCTTTAAATAAAAGACAAAATACGACTGGGGATATGGCTCAGTGGTTGAATGCCCCTGAGTTCAATCCTTGGTACCCCCAACCCACCCCTCCCACACACACACACACACACAAAAGATACATAAGAAACATGCACTCAGGGTTTTTTTTTTTCTTTTTTATATCAACCAAATAATCACACAAAGGCCTAGTAATCAAATCAAAAAAAATCTGAATCTGGTAAGTGTCCCAAGAGGAAGGAGTGGGGGAGAAAGAGCATGACTTGACCTGGTCTTTGGGAGTCAAGGAGAGCTTTGTAGCTGACTTAAATAAGGCTCTGGTTTACTGTGGGCCTGTGGCTTTCTGGGAAGAGCTGATGTCAAGCCCAAGAAGCAGGAGGTGTTACTGAGGCCTGGGGGCTGGGGGTTCCCAGCACTGTGGGAGGGCCTGTGTGCAAGTTGCACTATAGCTGCCGTCAGGGGCCTGACCACAGGACTTCAATGTCTGACCTAATAACAAGGGGAAGCCTTCAAGAGGGGCCTTGGGGTGTTTGTTATTTGTTGAGAGAGTCGGGTACCATGGTCAGATTTGGGTTTGGACTGATTATTCTAGGGAGAATAAATTAGAGGAGGTGGCTCTCACCCACACTTGATGCTGAGACAGAGCCTCCATGTACTTATCTAGAAGTGAGAGTCATGGAATCTGTCCCTAAGGACAGGATTTTTGAAAGGATGGAATAACATACCGCTACCTCAGAGGCTTTGTCAGCCTAAATGAACGGCTATAAACGTTGATAYCTAGAGAAATAAATTTCTGCCTTCAGCTGAATTCCAAGACACCTTTTCACCAGTTTTATTGAGTGTGATGGTTTGATTTACAATATAAACTATGTGGCTTATGTGATTTTCATTTTAAGGGGGCTCCAGGGATCTCAAAGAAATAAGGAGAGATCCGCGTAGGAGACACAGGTACAACAAATCAGTGTTATATGATCCACAGACCTGCCCTGCTCACTGAGTTAATTAACCACGGATGAAGCAAAGGACGGATTAAAGCCCCGAGTTAGGTTTTTAACTGTACAGGCTAATTGTTAACTGAACTCTTCCCACGTGCACAATTCCATGCATTAACATTGGTAGTAGCAGCAACTTCTCTTTAAAACTGGTTAGTGAACCTGGCGTGGTGGTGGCTTGAGAGGCTGAGGCTGGAGGATCGCCGAGTTCAAAGCCAGCCTCGGCAATTTAGCGAGTCTCTAAAACTCAGCAAGACCCTGTATTTAAATAAAATACCAAAAAAGGGCTGGGGATGTTCCTCGGTGGTTAAATGCCGTGAGTTCATTCCCTGGTACCAAAAAAAGGAAAAAACAAAACTGGTTAACCTTTCTTTCCAGTAAACCTGGGTTTAAATAAATAGCTGTAGATATGGTCATGCCCTTTGCACACGGCTGGATATGTTGTTTACGGTTTGGAGAGCAGTGCCAGGGTACAAAACCTCCCCACCCCTAATCAGGGGAGATTCTGAGGAAGGAGACGCGGCTTCCATACAAATGCCCTTTCAGTTACCGACCAAATTAGAACCACATTTCCCACGGTCCCCAGCGGCACCCGCCTTTCCCCCGCCCCTTCCGGCTTTATRCCAGGCCCCGCCCCCTTCGCTCGACGGCCAATAGCAACTCCAACCACGCCCCCGGCACAAAAAGGACGAGGGCGGGAACATTTCAGGAAGTTGGGGCGTGTTCTGTGGCCCGAGTTTGGTCTTAGGGTCGGAGCAGCAGATTCGCTCCGGTGGCGTGGTTGGAGTTGACTCGACCAAGAGAAAGGATTTGCGGGAGACGTTCGCCATTAGTGACGAAAAGGCGTTAAAAGGGACGGTATTAATCTCCCGCTGCGGCTCCTGCCCATTCCCTTCTTCGGCCTTTTCCTCTAGGAAATGAATGTGCTGCCGCAACTTGAGAGCCCAGTGACTCGGCAGGAGAAGATGGCGACCGTGTGGGATGAAGCTGAGGTGGGTGCCTGGAGAGGTAGGGGTCGCGGAACTGGCTCCAGCGGGGACATGTCCTTGTCAGGAGGGGAGGAGGTGGCTGGGGGTCAGGCCTGATCCGAGGATGGGGCCGGGGCCGCTTGGAAAGTGGCAGTGGTCCTGACTCCGTCCTGGAATCAGGAGGCTCGGGGATCGCGGGATGCCCCCCRTGAGTAAAAGTAAATAAGTAAATAACGTCGGTTGTTTTTTCTTGAAACAGCAAGATGGAATTGGAGAGGAGGTGCTTAAGATGTCCACGGAAGAGATCATCCAGCGCACACGGCTTCTAGACAGCGAGATCAAGGTGGGCGCTGGGCCCCGGTGCGGCCAGTGGCCCTGTGCCCTTCTGCTCCTTCCTCGCCTCGCTGGAGGAGACATGGGGCCTGTGGTTTTCTCCTGGGACCAGGAAAAGAAAAAGAAAACTAAGCCTTAAAAARGACAAGAGGAGGGACTGGGAGGTGGGAAACAGGCCTGAGATAAGAAGTTAGCAAACTGCCTTTTCCAATGAAGTCTTTATTCCTCTCAAAGATCGTCCTTTTAGTAAATCCCCATTTTACAGGTGGGGAAACTGAGGCTCAGAGATTTTTTTTTTTCTTCCTACCACCACTGTGGCAGCCCTTTCCAAGAGATAAAACTTAAAACCTATTTGCCAGTTTCAGAGGCCTGCTCTTTTCCCAATACTACATCAGCCTCCCTGGGAGGTTTCCAAACTGACCTCTTGGCTTGACTTCTGTGGAATGTAAATATAGACAGGCTTAGCCTTCAGAAAGCCTTAGATTTGGGTGGAGAGATTCAGGAGGGTCCCCATGGGCAGCCTGGACCTCACCAATTCCAGAGCCTGGTGCAGGCTGAGCCAGGACTGAACATTTGCTTCCATGCATCCTCAACCCAGATCATGAAGAGTGAAGTGTTACGGGTCACCCATGAACTTCAAGCCATGAAAGACAAGATCAAAGAAAACAGTGAGAAAATCAAAGTGAACAAGACCCTGCCATACCTAGTCTCCAATGTTATCGAGGTGTGTGTGTATGTGGAGGGGAAGAGGGGGTCAGTGGGCCATGGAGATAGCTGGGGGTGGGGCCAGGGATAGAATAGGTAGAAATTCCGAGGCCAAATTGCATGTTAGAACTGCATCCCCCAGTCTCCTTTTGTAGATTTGGTCCTACGAAGACCTTGTAAGTCTCAACATGGCTCCTTTTTTATTGATTTTTCTTGCTGGAGTAGATGAGCTTTGTGCAGAGAAGTAGCACCTAAACTCAGATTTTACCAACCTTCTGGCTTATCAACCACCCATTTGCTAAGCTCAGGGCTAGTTTGAGGAGTAAGGTAAGGGCCAGGCAACCCTGTGAGTGTTGGGAATTGACTCAGCTTAGCTCTAGAAGCACTGGGCTCTGGGAAATTCAAGGGTCTGAGCTTTATCCCTTCTCAGCTGCTAGATGTTGATCCCAATGACCAAGAAGAGGATGGTGCCAATATCGACCTGGACTCTCAAAGGAAGGGAAAGTGTGCAGTGATCAAAACCTCCACACGACAGGTAAGGCTGGCTTAAAAATAGAAGAGCAGAGGATTGTGAGGCGTGGGTGTGGGACAGGACTTTGAGGCCTTATCAAGTACAGTAACAGAGACTGCACCTTTAATCTTTCCTATAGACATACTTCCTACCTGTGATTGGGTTGGTGGATGCTGAAAAGCTGAAGCCGGGAGACCTGGTGGTAAGGATTGCCTAAGCTCAAGCAAAGCTTTCCCAGAGTTTTTCCCACTAAGTAGCCCCTCCGCAATTCCAGGTCTGTGTTGCCTCTGAGTCTAGTAGAGCAACCCTGAGAGTCTGAGATCCTGTCTGCTTGCTCTTTGATTCTTTGTTGCCCAGTCCTGTAACTCTCCTTGCACTGTACAGACTGTCACCCAGCCCACTAGGTAGGCCTAGAGATATATCTGAATCTCCCATGCTGTGTCCTCAGGGTGTGAACAAAGACTCCTATCTGATCCTGGAGACTCTGCCTACAGAGTATGACTCACGGGTGAAGGCCATGGAGGTGGATGAGAGGCCCACGGAGCAATACAGTGACATCGGGGGCCTGGACAAGCAGATCCAGGAGGTGAGAGAGACACAGCAGCTGCCAGCAGCCTCACCAGCCTTTTGTGTTTCTCCATCTTGTTGAAAGAATGCATCCCCTTACTGTACATCTCCTCTTCACAGCTGCCTAGGGGTAGGGGTGGAGGGTGCCATRTGATATGTTAGGAGGCCAAGGTCCAGAGAGATCAAGTGACTTAGCCAAGGCCCAGAAAGTTAGAGCTAGAGAGATAGGACTGATACTCGGTCCCCTGTTCTTGGCTCAGGGTCTTTCTACCATATCCTGTGTTCTTAGAGAGGCCAGGGCCAGCCTTGGTGAGGATGAACTTTCTGTGCCTTCTAGTTATGGGGGAAAGAGGGCAGTGTCCCTGAATTGCAAGAGGGGTAGAGATGGGGGTTGAAGTCATTTAAGGGTTGGGCTGTGTGGGATCCCTCAGGGCTTCACTCTCCTCACCCAGGACTTCTTCCTGGCAGCTGGTGGAAGCCATTGTCCTGCCGATGAACCACAAAGAGAAGTTTGAGAACTTGGGGATCCAACCTCCAAAGGGGGTGCTGATGTATGGGCCCCCAGGTACAGGGAAGACACTGCTGGCCCGGGCCTGTGCTGCACAGACCAAGGTGTGTTCTTTGGGAGGGATGAGGAGGTGGTGGGTAGGAGTCCACCCTCTCCCAAATGGGCTCAAGGCCTGATGACCCCCACCCTGCCACCTCCTCTTCAGGCCACCTTCCTCAAGCTAGCTGGCCCCCAGCTGGTACAGATGTTCATTGGAGATGGTGCTAAGCTGGTTCGGGATGCTTTTGCCCTGGCCAAGGAGAAGGCACCATCCATCATCTTTATTGATGAGCTGGATGCCATTGGCACCAAGCGGTAAGGGAGTACTGGGGGTTTCAAAGGGACTCTGTGGCAGACTTCAACCTCCCAATTGCACTAAATTTCATCTTTTTCCCACTCTACCCCTTCCTCCCCTGGGACAGTAGCTACTCTTAATGTGGTTCTGATTTCTAAATTCTCAGCTAAATAACCTGTTTTCTCTTCATAACTGCCAGCATGTTCCTTTCAAAACAAATCTGGTTGTTTTTTGTTTGGTTTTGGCAGTACTTGGGGTTGAACTCAGGGCTTCATGCATGCTAGACAGACACTTTACCACCGAACCACAACCCTAGCCAGAAATGTTTCCTTACTCACATGCATCCATGGTCCCTCACACAGGTCTTATTTAAAACCCTTCCTGCGGGGCTTGGATTGTGGCTCAGCGGTAGAGCACTCACCTAGCACCGGCGGGGCCCAGGTTCGATCCTCAGCACCACATAAAAATAAAGGCATTGTGTTGTGTCCATCTACACCTAAAAAATAAATATTAAGAAAAAAGCAAAACAAAAAAAAACCCTTCCTGGACCACCTCATTGCTCCTTGGCATTAAGTGTTAGACTGAACCATGGCCTTAAGTAAGGTCTCACACGTCTCTGCCTCCCTCTCTTCCTCCTTCACCCTCTTCCTCCCCCATCAGATCCAGACTCCCTCCTCAGTTTTCAGCCCCACTTGTCTTTTCCTGTTTTCCACTTGGGGTTTGCTTAGCTAGTGTGTCTGCAGTCTCAGGGATGCTTCTTAGGGATGCCTGCCTGGAATCCCCAAGAGTCCGAGCCCAGGCCAGGCCCCTGCGTTTCTGAGCTCTAGCTTAGTGGGCAGTCAAACATTTCTCTGTGACAGCCYATGCCGTGGCTGTTTTTTGCTGTTTATCTTCAGCCTGGCATCTGATCCCAGAAGTCTCTCCAGGCTCTGAATGTGTAGTCAACAATTAGCGACTCCTTTTATATGTTAGTCTCTAGGCAGGTTTGGTTAGGGTTCTTGTGGGTAGAGGGGAGGGCTCTGCCCAACCTGTGGCCTCACGAGTGTCTTGGCCTCCTGTGCACCCCAGCTTTGACAGTGAGAAAGCCGGGGACCGGGAGGTGCAGAGGACCATGCTGGAGCTTCTAAACCAGCTGGATGGCTTCCAGCCCAATACCCAAGTAAAGGTGAGTGTTTTCATTCTTTCCCAGTGAAGAAAATGAGGTTCAGAGGTAAGTGGCACCTTCTGAGGTCACCCAGCTAATTAATGGTTGAGCTACAATTCAAATTCTGATCTGCCTATGCCTTTAAGGTCCCCTGCTTACACACACTCTGGGTTGCCTTTTACCTTTTATGACTGCTTGTGCCCATCAGTTCAAGTTGCTGCTTCTCCCTTTCCTCAGGTAATTGCAGCCACTAATAGGGTAGACATCCTGGACCCTGCCCTGCTCCGTTCAGGTCGCCTGGACCGCAAGATCGAGTTCCCTATGCCTAATGAGGAGGCCAGGGCCAGAATCATGCAGATTCATTCCCGGAAGATGAACGTCAGGTGAGCAGAGCCGTGAATGGGCAGTAGCAGAGCATCTCTGACTGTCCATTCTCCTCACAGCTGCCTGTGCTGAGCTTCCCTAGCCATCATGACCACCACTGCCTCCTGCAGGCACATGCCAGCTGCCTGAGGTCCAGGCCCTGATTCTGGTTGCTCTGCTCCTAGAATCATCTGCACCTTGCCCTCTCCTGCCCAGGGCATGCTGCAGATGCTTTTTCTCGGGCTCCACGGCCCCACAGATGAGCACAGCTCAACCAGGTCCCAGGGAATCTAGGCAGGGGCCAGATGACCTGTGTTTACTGTTGTAAGACCTTCAGCAGGTGGCAAGACCGCTCTTTTTTTTTTTTTTTTGGTCTGGTTTTGGTACTGAACTCAGGAACACTTGGCCATTGAGTCACATCCCCAGGCTTATTTTATATTTTATTTAGAGACAAGGTCTCAACTGAGTTGCTTAGCACCTCGCTTTTGCTGAGGCTGGCTTTGAACTCACAATCCTCCTGCCTTAGCCTTTTGAGCCGCTAGGATTAYAGGCATGTACCACTGGGCCTGTCTGTGTCTCAGTTTTCTAATTTGGGCCTTGTGGATAGTAACCCTAACTTCATGGCCTTGTGGATAGTAACCCTAACTTCATGGCCTTGTGGGAACGATTCGATGTGACAGTGTCAAGTATAATGTGTGGCACATAAGGACGGTGGTGCTAGCACAGTGCTGGCCGATGCAGGGCTGGCTCTGTGGGGGAATGTAAGGCCGTCTTTTGTCTCCACCCACCTCCTGTACCCCTCCCTCAAGCTGAGTTGGTCCCTAGAAAGCTAGAGCACCAGAGGTCCTAGAAATAACCTGGTTTGACTTGCTCCAGTCCCCTACCTGTCTTGTACTGAGAGGAAAAGAAGGCATTTGCTGTCAGGGATTTGCTGTCACAGGGCCAGTTGCCTTTACTGCTGGGTGGCATGGTGGGACATCTGTCTCCTGTCCCCTCGTGAGTAACTGAGCTCTGTGGTGTGTCTCTCCTCAGTCCTGATGTGAACTACGAGGAGCTGGCCCGCTGCACTGATGACTTCAATGGCGCCCAGTGCAAGGCTGTGTGTGTGGAGGCGGTAAGTGGTGGAGGGGTGAGAGGATGTCTTCAAACCTTCTTGTCCCTTCACTAGACAAGATGGGGTGTTTAGCTGGTGGAGACTGCTGGGGGAAGGGGCTGAGAAGGCCCATGCCTCTGGGAGCAGGGCTAAGGATGTGGGGAGGCACCTTAGTCCATCTGTCTTGGCTGCAGGGCATGATCGCGCTGCGCAGGGGTGCCACCGAGCTCACCCATGAGGACTACATGGAGGGCATCCTGGAGGTTCAGGCCAAGAAGAAAGCCAACCTGCAGTACTATGCCTAGGGGCCCCAGGCCCAACCCTTAGTGCTGCTGGTTAGAGTTTGTAATAAAAGATGGTTTGGCTCACTGCCGCCTGTCTCACCTTCCCTGGGCTCTGGGTAGAAGATATAGGACATACACAGGAGGCCCCTTCCCCACGGGCTGCAGCCTGGGAATCTCTGAGACAACCGAGGGCCCCCAGCCCTTCATCAGGGTGAGCCCCTGGTGCTCTGCATGGCRCCACAGCTGCTGCCTAGTCTTCTGCCTCTCATCTCAGGTCCCAGCACAGCCCTCTTGGTGTGCCCTGCCCTTCCTGTCTGAGCTCTTACAGACTGTGTCCCTCCAATTCCACAAGTCAGGGCCTAAACAGAAGCCAGCCTTTCCCTTTTCCTGCATTTCTGGTGCTCTGGCCCTAGTCCTTATTGCTATCCGTGTAAAGCCAGGTTTGGGGTCCTGGGCCCCTGAGACTTCCCCCTTGTTTGCTGGCTTGTGTGCCTCCTGTTTCTCTACAGGCCCCTCCTGATTTTTCCACAGGTCCAGTAGCTCTTTCAACCCATTTCTTCTGACTGAAAAATGAGCCTTAAGCAATATCCACTCTGGGAGCCTTCCTAAGCCTAAGATTCCATCAGACTGTCCTCTCCTGCCTCCGTCTGCCCCAGACCTTTCAGTTTGCTTAGGATCTTGCTGGGCCTGTCCGACTATAAGCAGCTTCCCAGCTTCCCACCTCTCACTGAGCAAGTACGGTGGCTCCGTGGAGGGCATCCTGGAGGTGCAGGTGTGACCACTTGAGCGCTTGCCCTGGGATGTGTGCTTCATAGGCCTTAATGCATATATTATCTCATCATCAGAATAACCACCAATAGGGCACCCCCACTTTATAGATGCAAATGAAGCGCCCCTGCCTGCCCACTTTTCTTTCTTTCCCTATGTGACCACAGCAAGCTATTGTCTAACTTCCCAGATAGCCATCTCCTTTCCAGCTCTTTTTACCCTCTTGTGTCATCCTCCCCAAGTGTCTGAGTCACCTGGGTATCACCCTCTGCTTGGCCTTCCTGCTGACTTCCTGTCCCCACTGCTCCAGTGGCCCAGCAGCCCAGCCTCTGAAGTGATTTTGTCTTCTGCCTTGAGTTGGCTGTTCCCACTCCTTCATACCCTGTTTCCCTTCTAACTAGACAGGATTCACCCTTGGCCATGAAACCGATTGAGCCCGCAGGCACTATCCTCATCCATTCTTGGTTTCTTCATCTATAAAATGGAGTCCCTTCCTCTGCCTCTCTCAGTGGACTGAGATGATCACATGTATCTGTCTGCTACCTCGAAGGGCTCAATACCACAGCTTGTAGCCAGGGGCACCTGGTGAGCTATGGGTGGGGCCGGAGAGGCAGCTGTGGGTCTATTCCTTGGATCCTTCAGGCCTGGACTAACTATAATTAGGTCCTTGAGACAGTTTTCTTATTGGAGAAGAACAACCAGGTAGAGCAGATATTAAGTCCCTTTTAAATGTTTTGCTGATRGAAATACTAAGCCCTGCATTCCCAGGTAAGCGGGTGCTGACTTAGGTTCCCACTCATCTGCACCAGGCTCCGGCCRCCGCACTGGTTCTGGCCAGCAGGCTGCTGTAGGCTGTCCTGTCTGGCTTGGAGAGGAAAGAGGTGGACAGGACTCCTTCCCCCTTCTGCAGTCAGCTGGTGGCACCATGGGAAGCCCTCTGTGCCTGACTTGTTCTTAGACTCAGCTCATTCAGAGGAAGGGATGGTTCCAGTAAGGATCCTCTCTTTTTCTCTTTGAAATGAACAATAATTTCAAGTGGGTCAAACTTGGAAATGATTTTGTGGAGTTCCTTCCTTGATTAAATTGCTAAAGAGTGCAGAGGCAGACAGTGAAAAAAATCCTTGCCTTACAGGCTCATAAAATAAAAACAAAAACAGGGCTGGGGCTGGGCTCATCGGCAGAGCGCTCACCTTGAGGCCCTGGGTTCAATCCTCAACACCACATAAAAAATGAATAAATAAAGGTATTAAATCTAACTGTAACTAAAAATAAATATTAAATAAATAAATAAAGAGAACATACTTGAGGGCATTGAGGGGCTAAAGAGGCTCAGGGCCAGGCTTGTGTCAGTGCTCAGCTGTCATTGGGTTAGAAGCCTAACAACAAAACTGAAGAAAATAGGAGCGCCATGAGGGTAACAGACAAGGACATGGCTACAGCCTTAGCAGAAACCCCGGTGTGCAGAACAGAGGCGGCCCTTCTGTGGAGAATATTTATTCATATCTATAGAACAGGTATTTACAGATATAGATGGTACCACAACACGATGGCTGTAGGACCATGAGAGACCCTTTCCACGGCCACTTCTCTAAATATCCACAGTCTAGCGGCAGGATTGGATCCTGGCTGTGGAGTGGGCCAGCTGAGTACCTGGGCGCCAGCCAAGGGAAATAGCTGGGGATTATGGCTTCAGCATTCTCCCAGAGCACATTCCTGAGCGCTGACAATGTGGAGCCTTCGCCATGCCCACCTTACCTCCATGGGCAGAAGAGAAGGGGCCTAGCAGGGAAGGGCAGCCTGGCTCGTTCCTCCCGCCTCAGGCATGTCTGTCAGAGCCTGTGTTGGCAGGAGCATCCCTGAGCTGGACTGGGAGGCCTCTGGCCAGTTGGGGCTGCTTGCTGCCCTGCAGGCTGCTGTTTGGCAGCTGGAGGTGGCAAGAGCTGCCAGCACTGCCAGGGAGCGTTCGCCAGGGGAACAGGAGCTAGTCTGGGCAGGCGGCCCTGAAGAAAAGTCCTCCAGCTCCCTGCTCAGTGCTTGGAGGGGTAGGACTGTCAGTGCTGAGTGGGGTTGGGGGCTACAGGAGAACCTGCCTCCCCTTTCTTTGGCTGTCGAGGTGGCAAAGGCAAGGCCAGGAAAACGGACACAGCAGAGAGAAGCTACCCCAGCTTAGGCCCCTAGGCTTCTTAGGGCTGGGGTGCACGAGCACAGGGTTGCCCCCTCAAGCCAGAGGCCCAGGAGGCCCCAGCAGAGGCAGTATAGCTTTGGGGTTCCTCGCAGCCTGGGCTCCTTGGGCTGCTCTCACTCCTTTTGGGGTCCTGGCAGGGCAAGCCCTCTGCTATTCCTCACTGTTCACTCCAGCTGGTKCAAGACGACAGGGTGGCAGGGAGAGGAGGCTGCAGCAGGGCTGGGGCAGGTGCAATGCCGGGCCCTGGGCCCTGCGCACGGAGATCACAATGTTGGCCTCACGCACACACCTCTGACCACATGTGCACACCACACGCACCCTCCTGTCTGGTCAGAGGCTGGTTCTCAAGCACTCGCCTTCTCTGCTTCACACACAAGGTCACAGAGTGAATCCGAGTCTCTTATTGCTGATTGGGGTAGGGCACCAGCGGAGGTTACTCGACGCAGAGCGAGAGCAGCGCCATCACCGTGATGCCAGAGCATAGCAGGAGCACCTGCTGTAGGGAGCGCCTGTGGGGAGAGCAGCTGGCTCGTGGGCAGCACAGAGCGGGCAGCAGAGGCCAGAAGCCCCCCACYCTGCGGCCCCACTGTGACTGCCAACAGTGGGTCACTCACCAAGGGTCATCTTCCTCCAAGAGATCAGGCAACACGTTCACCAAAGCGATATAGAGAAAGCCACCAGAGGTAAAGGGCAGGATCCAGGCCACCGTTTCCTCTGCAGGCGAAGAAGATGCCTGACTGCTGAGCCCAGGGGACTCATCTCCCATCCCTCCCACAGGCTGTGGAGGGAAGATGAGAGAGACCCCAGCCCCATGCCTGCAAACCCATGGCTGGCCCTCTGTCAACCACCACCACCCTCCAAGCCCATACCTACTCCCTTGGGAGACTGTGTACAGATGGCAAAGCAGGCGCCCAGAAGGCCCCCCAGTGCTGTTGAGAGCTGCAGCTTGGCTGCGCTCCATCGGTCAAAGCCGGCCCGGAGCAAGATGGCAAAGTCGCCCACCTGGGGGGAGGAGCAGATGTTTGCCATGGGCCTCAGCTGGGCCAGATCACCTGAGTGCCTCAGGTTCGGACATGCACACCCAGTCCCCTGCTCCCAGGGCAAATCCTGAGGAGGCTGCAGTCTGCCTACCAGTGCAGGGCAGCCTACCAGTGCCTACCACCCCAAAGCCTTTCCCAAGCTCCAAGCCCCTGCTGAGCATGGGAACCCTTCAGACTTAGCCCTTGAGGTAACCCTCTGGGCACTCACCTCGTGGGGGATCTCATGCAAGAGGATGGCCATGGTGGTCAGGAGCCCGATCTGCAGGGAGGGGAGGGTCTGCAGGGTCTGTGCTGAGGGTCTTGGTACCCCTCATGCCCACCCACTTTACGAATGTTTGCTTTAGTCTGGGCAAATGCTACTGGAAAGACAACAGTGACTAAAAGCAACAAGGAGTCTGCCTCTTGAAGCTAACGGTCTAGGGGGAGAGACAAGGACTGCACACATGACACCTGTGTGGCCCCTCCCAGAGCAGCTCCGTGAGGGAGAGGGTGGACCAGGTGCTATGGGGCTGGGAGGACAGGGACCAAAGTGGACTGAGGAGCCGGCAGCAAAGGCCTCTTTGAGAAAGTACATCTAAGCCAAGGCCTTAAAGATGAGGAGTCAGCTAAAAGGGAGGAAGAACATTTCAGACAGAGGGCAGTGTGAAGTGGGAAGAGTTAGGCCAGTTCAAGAGTAGGCAGATGAGCACGGAGGCCAGATCACACAGGGAGGAAGTAAAGGAAGAAGCACCTAGAAGCAGGCAGTGGCCAAGCCTAGCAGCTTGATAGAGGCACCCCAACAAGGAGTGTGGGCAACAAGAACACAGTAGGGGCTCATGAGTGAAGGCGCTGGGAGATGAGGAGGCGGCCATGGCTACATCCATGAGAGCCACAGTGAAATTGGAGCTCAGATGAAGGTACTGATAATGGAAAGCGCAAGGAGACAGACCTGGCATATTTTGGAGGTGGAACCACACTGCTACCATTATCCCCCTCAAGCCAGAAATGCATGAGACCTGCTGCCAAGCCTCAACTCACCTTCTTGCTCACAAGGAAGCTGGCAGCCACGGCCAGCCCGTGCGTGAAGTTGTCTATGGTGTTGGCCAGCAGGTTGAGA